TTTTTTTTTTTTTTTTTTTTTTTTTTTTTTTTTTTTTTTTTTTTTGTTTTTTTTAGTTTTCGACGCTGATGAATTTGATCCCGGGTGTAAATCAAGCGCGGGAGCGGAGGGGCGGGGCGAAAAGATTAAAGTGAAATATGAAGTCGCCGAGAGGAAGTTAAATTCGGTTTTCCCCCCGCGTGTACACCCTGTAGAGCCAAGTCGTCCCGTTCGAGAAACTATACGTGCATACACGTATAAGACAGGAGGGGGGGGAAGGTTTCTCGGCTGACCGTCTCTGGTCTCGTTCTACTGCGGCCGTTGCACCGTGTGTTTATACGTATATGTATGGGTAATACCGTACAAAAGTGTGCCCGCGCGACACCACGTCCGGGCTATCGGTCATGATCCCGAATGAATAATGCATATGGGGCCAACCGGCCGGCTCGCGGTATATGTATATGTATAAGCTCTTTCTTTCTTTCGGTCTCCAGGCATCTCTGCTCTTTCATGTACCCCGCTCTTTCGCAAGGGCGCCCAACTGTAAACCATATACTCTATATAAACAAGTACAGCTTTGCCCCATACCCACGCACGCACTCCCTGCCCCTACACATATGGATACACGTGCTAATTACCACTGCTAACGCTTGACCGCTAATGAGTATAGCTTTCCTCCTCCTCCTCCTCATTGGGAAATTCCGTTGATACCTATACAATTAACGTTCCTTCTGTCCATCCGACTTTTTAAATGTCAACAGTTGCCCCGTGATACTGCGGAAATGAGGGAAACCCACGCCCGCGAGCAGTAACGTCGACTCCGAGTCGTTTGTAAAACAATCCTGCAAATCTTCCCACCCTCTCTTGGTCCGTGGAAGATCAGCAGGACTATTTTCGTCCTCCATCCTCCCCATGAATTTCGTCGCGTGTCCTGTGCTCCACCCCCCCTCCCCCCGAGCTCCTTCAACGCCCCGTGCGACATGACTTGTATTTATACACTTTGGCCTCGCTTTGTACGCCAGACGACAGCCGAGCCGGGCTACTTATCTACACCGCCCTACCCCACCGTGTACCTCCGCGCCTCGCACGGACACGTATATATATATATATATGTATGTATGTATGTATTCGCGCTTCCCGGCGCTTCTTTCCGGAAAAGTCGCGCGCGTGCATCTGTTATCGCGTCCCTACAGGGTCCGCCCCAGTGATTACATATATGTTCGCATAAATATACTGTCTTCAGGGTGTAGGTGCTTCGTTCACTGGAGGGAGAGCTCGGTTTTCATACCGTACAGGTGTATCATCCTTATTTTCGCTCTACCCATTAAATTGCACCTCACGACTCTTTTATCAGGCTCTTGATGAAAAATCATAGAAAATCTCACACCATGTGATCCGAACTCGGCGCACATAGTGCATTGATAAAAGGCGTTACCCTCAGATACAAGAGAGGGAAATTTTAAATTTCCAAGCAGAGTCCGGGGGAGTAATATAATAACACCGATATCCGGAACGACATTCCGTGGGTGTGTACGAAGGGTAGCTCGTGCGCGTCTATACGCTTGAATCTCAAGTGCGCAACTGTCGGATTCTCGGCACGTCGGGTATGGGACATTTAAAAAAAAAAAAAAAAAAAAATTCTCTTAAACGACGAGGGGGGAAAAAAATTGAAGGCGGATTTAGACGAGAGTCCAGATAATCCTCGGAAGAGGGGAAGCTCTTTTATGGCGATAATATACATATCGACGCCGCGAAAATTTTCAATGAGGACCGATTGCTGGACCCCCCTCTTTTTCGTCAATTAGGAAGAGGATGGAACTTTATTCAAAATCGAAGTTTACTTGTCCCCCAAGTGGAGGAGTTAATTAATATAGTCGGCCCACCTGCCAAAGTAAGTCAACCGGAACGAAGAAGATAAAAGCGAAAAGTGATAATTGAGCGCCGAGTGAAAATTAAATTTTCCAATGACTCTGCCTTGGATAGTTTTTACTTTCCAAATGAAGTTACCATTGCGAGTGAGATGGTTAGGTATAAAAAGCCGTATCCAGACGAACGAATATAAATCGTCATTGGCTACCCTATACTGTATATGCACGTGTTAGGCATATATAAAACTATAGTAAATGGCCACTCGAGTGACCGCAGCTGAAACACCGAACGGAGTCTATTATGCTTGCAAATGTACCCGAGACTCTAGCTTATACCGATCCCCCTATACTAGCGAACCGAAATCGTCAACACCTTTGTTGACAGATCCAAGCGAGTGGTACAAAAGACAGACAGAGATGACCGAGTGGGGGGGAGGATAGAGTTTGCTTCTCTGCTGGCGTATACGTGCAAGCGGACCAAGAGAGGAAATAAATATTCAGAGGGAAAGAAAAAAAAAAAAAAAAAGCTCGTGCGAGTACACGGCCATCCGGTGTGTGTATATAGGGGGACCGCGCGGTAAATCTCGCTCCCTATCTTCCTCCTCTCGATGCTTTCAAGTATTTATGCGCGTTAGCGGGGAGATTTCCCCGGAAAAGAGGAATCCACGTGTGTTACTCGTGATGCCTGCGGCGAGTAAATTCCAGGGCGCCGAGGACGTGTTTTTCTTTCCGCGACGTTTTACCTTGCGCATACAGCCATCATTTGCCAACGCCTGCTTTTTTTTCACGTTTCACCAGGAGTTGCGAATGACTTTGTTTCGAGCACCGATGGAACGAATCTAAAATAGTTCGAGCCCCATCAATTTTTATATTTTGGTGGGGAGCACTACAGGGGGGAAAAAAAGGGAAGCAATGAGCGACAACCGGCACGCGCGCGTGAGTGAGTGGCTGCTCGCGGGAGGCGCGCCTCACCTGTGCATGTACGACTATACGCTCCGTTTGTTCAATATCGCGCCCGTGGCTGCTTCGATGCGGAGGATTTTTTTTTTTTTGTCCACAAGGTAATACGAATGCGCGGGTGTGTAAATAAAAAGTTGTACCGAAAACGGGGCATAAATTCATGGTATTATCGTTGACAGGGCACAAAAAAGGGAGAGAGAGAAAAACAGTTTACCTTTATTTAAAAAAATGACTGTACCTGCGCCACGAGCATTTTCATTCAAATAATATACACTCGATGAAAGGGTACTAAATATTTATGGGCGGCAACGGTACAAAAGAGCATTGCCGCGGTGGCGCGTAGTAGCGGCTTCTATTTTGCGGGAGAAATTGATCGTCGAGGGGAAACGTAATTAATGACGCTGGAAAATATTGAAATTTCCCGGGGAAAAAAAATTCAAGCGGACGAAGATAATAAAGTTATATACATAGATTCGCGCAGTGATGGAAGTTGAAAGAAGGGATGCGAGGAACGTCCCCGATAGCAAAGGATGGATGGACATTTTTATATAAAAAAAAGACCACCGGCATCCACGACTATGTGCACATATGCATGGCTATCTAAAATACTTTGATCTTTAAAATGTGGTTAGTTGAGCAAAGAGGGTTGTAAATTGATATAGATGTATAGGTATCTCCTCCACTTTTTCGGTAAAATTTCCCTCGGCTGCAGGTCGAATATTCAAAGTAAAAAATATAATCTAGAATTGCATTGACCTGAAAAACGGTGGGTGCGCTCGAAGGGAGTGGAATGATAATTGAACCGAGTAATCTCAAAGCGAGTATACTTAGCCGCGAGAAAGTCCAAAGGGGCGAAACAATCGAGCCGTCGTTAGAGGGAAAATTGACCTTTGGAGTGATCGGCGCGCAACGTGTCAAGATTCCAAAGGCAAAAAAAGTACCACGACGGGGGAGGGTTTAATGACTTTGGATCAGGGGGGCTCTGGAGGTGAAGCGCATAGAGGGAAGAGAGAGAGAGAGACGAGCTCGTTGCTACAATACCTGACGAGGCGAAATTTCTTTGACGACCGAGCTTCGCTCTACTTCATCCACGGCACTATATACTTCGAGTTTCTTTTTTTTTTTTTTTAATTTGCAGCCGATCCGAAGATTAACAAAACATTTGCATTTAAATGGAAAAGAAAGGCGAGAAAAGGCGAAGCACTTACCTACGTATACACGTACATTTCGTCGGCGCGCTCTAATTGCATCAAAGGGACCAGAGCGTCTATCCCCCTCGTAATTCATTTTCAGAGTAATTCGAATCTAATTAAAACTAGCGCGCGCGCCTTGACACGGAGCAGCAACAGCATCGCCGAGGGTACATGGGCCATTCCGCCGAAATTTCCTAGTGGCTTTTCTCCCACAACGTTGGGCATATAACATGTATAAGGGGATATTATTTGCGAATTCCAACAAATATGACGTGTCGTTAAATTATGTCGATACATTGATATGAAAAGCTATTTTTTTTTTTGGTCTCAACAACGAGAGGAATATTTGATTGTTTTCCAAGTATATAGTTTCAGCGAAATGGCCCCGTATACACCCAACCACAATCGCATGACTCGATTATGGGTTTTCCCTGTCCGTATGTTACGGATGACGCAGTTAAATCTGTCCAACTCCCCGATACCTCTCCTTAGTCGTACAGTTTTTTTCCCTTCTTTTTCGTTGCATTAGTATGCCAGACGCGCGTATACCGCTCCGGTGTATACGTATAATACCAACCAAGAGAGACGCGCTCTGTTTTATACACATGCACAGAGGGAGGATTATTTCGCACTGGGTGCAGTCTAATACGATCCCTCGCGTGCGTGGGGCCTATAGCGACAACAACAGCTGGTACACGGCACCTAATTGCCGGCTTGATAAACGCGTCCCGATTTCACAATGAATTGTTATACATCATCCAGTAATTTAATATAACCCATGGGGTATGGGCGTGGTACACCCTCTACACCCATATGTGAGTGGAGATGATGAAACAGACGACGATAATTGTGTCGCGCGACTAAAATGATATTTCATGTTCTGATGCTGTATCTGATTTATACTTATACGATATATATTTATGTGTATACGCGGTACGTATGTGTATACTTATTGATTTCGTTGCAGGTGCGATATTTACGGAGGATCAAAAGGACACGCCCTCGGAGTTGGCGTTCAAGTACGCCGTGTACAAAATCAACAAGGAAAAAGTCCTTCTGCCGAATACCACGATGGTGTACGACATCCAGTATGTGCCTAGAGACGATTCGTTTCGAACTTCGAAAAAAGGTGAGCGAGTGACATGCAGTTGCTCGCACGACTCTTATTTTGTTTTTTTATTTATAAAAAAATGAGGAAAAAAAAAAGTGTGCCAGCGCCACTCGATTGTTACCCTAATAAATAAAAACGGAGAAAATAAAAAAAAAAAAAAAAAACAACAGAGTAGAGTGTATAGATGTCCCCGATAGGGTCGTTTTTCCTCTCGAGTCTCGTGCAGCCTCTTTGGTTGAAAAAATGTCGTCGCGAGACCCTCGCGGCAGCTGCTTACTCTTCTTAATAATTTAGCCCTCGAGCCGAGCGAGAAGTGGAGAGGCGCCGCCAGCCCGGTGATAGAGCATGAAGCCTCGGGGCCTCCCCTGTACGTGTACACACACACACACCGACGATCCGATCTATCGAGACTCGCGCGCACTGCACAGCTTCTTCTTCCTCTCTGCCGGCGACTCGTCAAGGGCTCGCGAGCGACCAAGTGTACGTGCCACGGGGCGCTGGAAATCAGGTTAAAGCTTTTCGTTGACCTCGATGCGCGGACTCGATACTATCCCCCACTCGTGATCAGCTTCGTTTCACATTGTCTCCGAGCCGAAGGGGTTTTGCTTCTCTGTCTTTCCCACCCTTTTTTTTTTTTTTTTCTCTTCTTCTTCTTGTACACGGAAATCGGTGTGTAAAAGTGAAAAATCTGGCCTTTCGCTCTTTTTTCATATACGCGCACATCGGGGAAATCGTACATGTAATACGTGAGCCGTGACTCGTGCAGGGATCGATCGCCGGTGCCTGGAGCGTGGAAAATTCAATTTGCGCGACTCTATGCATACAGTTACATGCACCCATGTACGCATCGTGTGTGGCATTTTTATTTTTATTTATTTTTTTTTTTTATAATATTACATCTCCTCCCCAGCTTGACCAGGTGATTCATCGGTTTTTGCACTTTTGTACATCATACACATAGGTACGTAGGTATATCGAATTGAAACTCTCGCACTCGTTAGTTCTGCTCTGTTTGCCCGATCATTGTTTGCCGATCGCTATGGGTGAATATGAAAAAAAAAAAAAAAAAAAAAAGATGAAATATCAAACTCGGATACCCCAACTTTTTTATGTACAGTGGATAAAGTGAAAATAAAGCAGGTGTATGTGAAAACACAAAAGGGGACCGGAATTTCACAAGATAAAACAAGCACGTGTCGTGGGGATGGGTGTACGTGTGCGCAAATATGTATTGAGAAAAAAACGGATTGCCTATACGATATACACGTATAGAAGCAGCGACAATAGTGGAAAATCCAAGCTGCTGAAGCATACACGCGTATGCGGCAGCGGTGGTCAGCACCTATACGTATACATGTATACATGTGGCGAGACACGAGAAGCATTGCTCAGCATCTTTCGAAGAAACCACCAGCAGCCGAAGCTTTACGTGTACTTGTATGGAAACGAAGGAGATCAATCGTCACCTCGCCGGGGTTGGTGGGAAAAATGTTGCGTACATGTGTGCGCGAGGAAACGTACATTCTTCCTCTCTCGGCACGTACCTCACCTTGCGGACGATGCCTTATCAATTTTACTTTTTTTTTTTTTTTTTTTCGCTCTCCAACTCCATCCATAGGTTCGTGCTCCGGGAAACGTGGGCCCTGCACGTGACGCTCCTTTATTCGCCCGCGCCACCAATGTCCAACTTTTTTCTTTTTTTTTTTTTCCCACCTCGAAGTTGAATTCTCCCCCACATTTGTATTTATGTAACGCTGCGAAAACATAAATATACATACGCGCGTTAATTTTGATACTGTATATGATAGAAAAAAAAAAAAAAATGGCACTTTGCAGCCTGTAAGCAGCTGTCGCGCTCCGTGCAGGGGATATTTGGGCCGGCGGACTCGCTCCTGGGCGCCCACATCCAGAGCATATGCGAGGCCCTGGACGTGCCCCACATCGAGGCCAGGGTCGACTTCGAGCCCGCCTACCGGGAGTTCAGCATCAACCTGTACCCCGCCCAGGACCACCTGAACCGCGCCTTCCGGGATCTCATGTCCTTCCTCAACTGGACCAAGGTCGCCATCATCTACGAGGAGGATTTTGGTCGGTTGTCCTCCCCCCTTCATTTTTTTTTCCCCTCCAATACGAATGATATCTCGTACCACCGTGTGACCATTTTATGACCACGTATCCCCTATACAGTCATCGGTGATTAGAAGCAATCCGCGACGAACAAACCTCTCGTTTCCTGCAGCTCCGCTCGTACAACGTGCTATAACGCAGCCCTCCGACTCGGCTAAAGGTATATATATATGTATACAGCTGGACGCGCGCTTTGGAGGAAACAATCAAAACGAGGCGAGGGAGAGGAGAGAAACGAAAACGGAAGTAGAGACGAGTTTCAACTTTGCTCGTTTCCCGCTCCTTCTTCCTTCTCCGGTTCCAGCCCTTTTGCCCTGCGCTGCGCCCTTCCAAACTTCCCTTTTTTTTTTTTTTCTTCCCGTTTGCCGCTTGTTCGAGCTCTCGGATTTCCCTCAGGGACCATTATGTTCCCGCCCTTTTGAAGTCACACGGTGCGGTACACGAGAGGGCTTGGGCTCTCGATCGTTCGATTCATCGACAATATAGTTGGTGGAGAAAAAAAAGAAAAAAAAAGAAAAAAGAGTTTGGTCATATAACACACGTGGTAACGCATGTGATTTTATTGGGCGTAGGTCTGTTCAAACTGCAAGACTTAGTGAAATCGCCGCCTTCGCCGAAAACCGAGATATATATCCGCCAGGCTGGACCTGGATCGTATAGACAAGTACTCCGAGAAATCCGACACAAAGAAATTTATCAATTAATCGTCGATACGGATCCCGTGTACATGCCGCTATTCTTTAGAGCAGTGAGTTTTTTCTTCAAATTTTTCGTTGCGTTTTAGGTATTTTCACCTTTTTTGGCCATTTTCAGATATTACAGCTACAGATGAACGATTATAGGTACCACTACATGTTCACGAGTTTCGTAAGTCACGCGTGCCCCAATTTTTACTTATATGTACAGTTATAGCATATCAAAAAAGTTTTTTCTTTTTCTTTTTTTTTTTTTTTTTTTTTTTTTTCATCGACGATCAGGACATCGAAACGTTCGATCTCGAGGATTTCAAGTACAATAGCGTAAACATGACTGCCTTTCGACTGGTCAACTCGGACAACTCCGGGGTATCCGAGACGCTGAAGCAGCTGGAACGATTCCAGCCCATCGGACACGCGATCCTCAACAGATCGGGAATCATACAGGTTTGTTTTTACACGCGACTCTTGCACACGCGAGTGCCTTTTATTTCTATTGTAGGGCAAAAAGTGTGAAAATAATCTAAACAACTATATTACAACTGGAGTTGGAATTTTCAATTCAATAAATACCCTCGTCTTCGCACCATAAAACGTGATGATTTGCATTTGAAGAGGTTTTATTAGGAGGAAAGAAAAAATTTGTAGCTCTTTTACTCTTGAATTCTAAGGACAAACTCTGGTTTTTCTTTCGCGTGGAAGTATTCACGGACAAAGTTTTAGATCTTCTTTCGCGTGCAAATTTTTTTTTTTTTTTTTTTGTATCGCACACCCTTTTCACTCCAGCGAAATCTCGAGATTGCAAAAAAAAAAAAAAAAATTAAACTACTCACAAACCGTTTATTGTTCCAATTAACCTTGTCGTTTTCAGGCGGAGCCAGCCTTGGTGTACGACAGCGTTCACGTGTTCGCGCACGGGCTGGCAGCGCTGGACCGTAGCCACGTACTCCGGCCCGCGAACCTCTCCTGCGAGAGAGAGGAGCCCTGGGACGACGGATTGTCGCTGTACAATTACATCAACTCGGTGAGCCAAACGAAAAATTCCAAATGACAAAAAAAAAAAAAAAAAAAAAGAAAGAACCCATACCTAGCAAAGGAGCTCGTCGCCAAGCATCACCGCAGCCCAAAAATTAGCCCCGAGAATACTACTTTGGGGCGCGAGTCCGTAAAATTGCGTTGAATGACGAAAGAAGAGTGTAGGGGAGATTGGAATATACGGTGGTACACAAGGTGGTGGCTGGATTCTCCGACGGCGCGCCACCGCGTCTCTCCCTCGCGTGTATACGTATACACCGGGACGGAGAGCCACGCGAAACTACTGGAAAAGTTATGAGGCTAGACAATGCCGCGCGACTATGTGGAGCGAAACGGGACTCTTCTCCCGCGAATTATTCGGTAGGAACGACGACGAGCGACGGCTTTTTTCCTTTTTTTTTTCCCCTCCCCCCAACCGCGTCTCGGTCCCAACACCGTCGCTTCCTTCCTCCCTCGATCTTATTATAAGTTTCCAAGCTGCTGACACTGGCACGCGCGTAAAAAGCGCCTTTGGAAAAGTTGCTCGATTTTCGGTGACGTCGTTGCTGCATTAACTGCCCGTGCTTTATATTACCGCACCAGGGAGGTTTTAATGAAACCTGCAGCCGAAATCGTCCAAGTTGGCCGAAATGTACACGTACGTGTACATATTATATTTATGTACCGAGATGATGAATAGGAGAATCAACATGGCTATCCTCTCAGTTAGATATTTTTTAACCAGAACTAATCGATAACTCAAAATCGCTATATCTCCGTAAATAACGTAGATATCGCGAAATGAACAATATTTGGTGATCACGAAAATATGAAAAAAACATTTTTTTTTTAAATGCGTGACTTTGGCAACTCAAAGCAATTGAACAACTCTATTTTTAACACTCTAATATTACTTATACCACACAAAGTATGAAAAAAGTAGTGGGGAGCCTCTAATTTTAGAATTTTTCAACTAGGAAAATTCGAAAACTTTAAATCGCTATACATCTCCGTAAATAACGTAGATATCGCGAAAAGGACAAAATTTCGGGATCACGACAATTTGAAAAAAAAAAATTTCTCCTTCAAACAGTAGGACTTTGGACTTTTAAAACATCTAAATATTTATTCATTATACTCTGATATCACGTAGATTAGCTTATTATACTATATAGAGCCCGAAAACAGGTGTAATTTACTGAATTACGTACAATAAATGTCAAAATAACATTAATTTTGTGTAATCCCTTTACTTAAAATAATATCAATAAATCCAAAAAAATTAGTGTTTGATAATAGTTAGCATAAGGCTACGATACAAAAGATTCGTGTAGTTGTTAACAAGACGTTCGTGTCGAACGCAAAACATTGTGTTGCCTGTTTAATTTTGTACAACAGATGTTTACTCGAAGACTCGAGTCCTGCACTTTAGATTTGTTTTTGGATGTCCCTCGAATTCGCAGTTCTACATGTGGCCATTATTGATCAAAGTACCAAAATACATCACACAAAAAGTACACACAAATAAAACACTGTACGACATTCGCGGTACACAGCTCCGATCCGATGTAGACGATTGTTTCAATCATACATGGGACAGGCCAAATGTACTCCCGACCGAGCCGGCAGATGTATTTCTCTCTCTTTCCCTCGATCCGCGCACGGACAAGCCTATACGCGCTGTTGGAGTGTACTTTAAACGCCATCGCGAACCCAAGTTTTGGTTATTAACGCCGACATGGATTTTCCTTTTGAGAACTTTCTCTCTCGAAGCCATCAGCGAGTTGTTATTTCTCGTAGTAGATACCTGCAGTAAAAAGTACGGGTGTGCGCGTGTACAAGCGATGGGAGGGAGGGGAGGTTTTCATCGAGATCCAATCTCCAAAGTTTCGTAATTAAAGTAATGAGGTGTTGTACGGGAGGGGATGGAAAATCTCGGGAAATACTTTTGACAATGTTTGCACTGCGATGATTGTAATGTGTACATATATATATATATATATGTATAAATGAGATCGGGATGGTAAAAAAAAAAAAAAAAAAAAAACTGACACGGTCTCGCACAGGCGGGCTTGGATGGTCTCACCGGGCGTATCGAGTTCAACGAGGGCAAGCGCACGAATTTCAAATTGGATTTGCTCAAGCTGAAAAAGGAGGAGCTGGTCAAAGTTGGCGAGTGGAGGCTCAACAGTGGGGTCAACATATCGGACGTCGGGGCGTTTTACGACACCACGGCAGCCAACATTACCCTCGTTGTCATGACGAGAGAGGTATGAAAGAAAAAAAAAGAAAAAAAATCGTCATTCTCCCTAAAATCTGATCCACGTATTTTCTTGTTTCCAATGCAATGGTCGGAGCAGGAAAAGCCGTACGTGATGGTGCGGGAGGGGAAAAATTTGACGGGGAACGCGAGGTTCGAGGGGTTCTGCGTCGACCTGCTCAAGTGGATAGCCGGCCAGGTGGGCTTCCAGTACGCCATTCGTCTCGTGCCGGACCACATGTACGGCGTCTACGACCCGGTCACCAAGGAGTGGAACGGCATTGTGCGCGAACTCATGGAAAAGGTTGGCTCATCATTTCCTCTCTTTTATTTACGTGTATCAACAATCATTTATTACAAATAAGTCATTGAAAACTCACCCCAGTAACGGTTCAATTGGATATTTGGTGTTTAAATTTGGTCATAATTTTTATACATGTACATGCAAACTTGATGGACACGGATAGTTTTTCAAATTTTTTTTGTGCACGTCCTATACCGCTTGCAATTTCGATTTCCTATCTTTATAAAATCTAAATAAAAAGACTTGCCCGAATCCGTGCAAACAAACGCATACCTTTGTCTCACAACTGCAAACGGCAATCATATATGAATAAAAAGCCCTTTTTGAATCACAAAAATCCATTTCTCGGAGCTTCCGTACGAGGAGCCAGATGATATGATATCCCACGAGTGGAGCATCTAATGGATTATTCAAGCCAGATAACGCGATCCACGCGGAGGCTGCCGCGCTAATCTTCTTGATATACATTTGCCCCGCGCTTAATTAAATTTTCTCGTTCATTTTTCATGCTTCCACGACGCGTAACCTCCGATGGTTCAACCGCTTTTTAATTAAACAACCGCGGGATTCGCTCGCGTAGGAACTTTTTTTTTTTCTCGTGTAACTTTAATAACCCTTTTCCCCGTAAATTCGGTAAAAATAATTTTAAAATCAATCCATGGCGAGTGACGCCCGAACAATGAATTCTCACCTGATGACCTCAACAGCTAACTACTCGTGTTGAACAATATACCGTTGTCCGGCCCGACGAGCAAGTTGAAAAAAAAAAAAAAAAAAAACTCACCGGTGGATGACGAGCCATCCGAACGTAAAAATCGATCCGAGCACTGACCCCGAGAAAGGGTGCTCTGGAGCGAAATTCCGAGGGCGCGGGTCATTATAGCGCGCGCGAGAGATCGACCGATCGTAATATAGAGCCCATTACTACTGCAATACACGGAGCTGAGCTATATCGGCTCCCGTGCATTTATTGCACTCGCGTTGACCTGCCGAAGCTTTTAGAGGTGCACAATATCGGTACAGAGGTGATCGGTAATGGTGTGTGGCTATGAGACCGCGAAACTGCTTATGCTTGAAAATAGTCGACTGCGCGAGAACCAGCGTTGGAAACAGCTAATCGCGGAAACAGTCCGGGCAATTTGTTGCCAGAGAGTAAACCAAATTGGCGGTGTAATTAAATGAAAATGTTGATGTCGTTGGTCATTTTTGAGGAAAATCGGTTTTTTTTTTTAGCTTTTAAAATTTGAAGAACCAAACTATCGTATACAGTCACTCTGAAGTGATCTCGAAATCAGGGGAAAAGTAAGCAAAAGCTGGATGAAAAATTTATAACGCGTAGTTCGATTTATAATGACGAGGGCACGTGGAAAAAAACAAAAAAAAAAAAAAAAAGAAATGTCCAAAGTCTCGAGTGAAGGTTGATTTTTTTTGCGGAATCTCTCGTCGCGAAGGATATACGTTATATTGTATTAAGGTGGAGGGGAAGGAAGAATATGGCCCACTGGAAGTGTATTGGGTATAGTCAAGGAGCGTCGTCCGGGCCACTCGAGCTTACGGGCTCTCGGGACGCTCGAATGGCCCTGAACGAGATCGGAGGGGGAGCGGTAGGTGGCAGCCGAACAAAAGCGACGAGGAGCTCTCTCGTCCTCGCTGATGCTGCTATATTTAAAGGCTCGACGCACGAAATGCCAAGGCAATAACCCATCGGCGGCAGCCCCTACTTCTCGGCTCAAAGTCAATTTTATCAATTGCGCTTTTGTGCCACGGACTTTCGAGTGCTCGATGGCACTCGATATACCGCTCCCGATAAATATGTATATGCAGCGCTCGATCTCGAGGACAAATTCATACCCCACTGCTTCTCTCTCTCTCTTATTTTCTTTTTCTACCCTGCACCAACTGATTCACCAATAAAGTCATGGAAATTAATTAATTTAAACTTTTCCACATCGTCCCTTTTCCTTTGAATTTTTTTTTCGCGTAGTATTGGCAAGTAAAAAATGTGAAACGTCAAAACGTGTGTGTTGCAGAGGGCCGACTTGGCGGTGGCGTCGATGACGATCAACTACGCGCGCGAGAGCGTCATAGACTTCACGAAGCCCTTCATGAACCTTGGCATAGGTATTTTATTTAAGGTGAGTCCGAGGTATTGTATACATGCTTGTATACAGCTTGCACAGAGTAACGAAAAATCGATCGGCGCGCGTCCTATGCATGGAAAATCTTTTCTTTTTTTTCTTTCATCCGACCGCGTGGTGCATACCAAATGCAAGGCTTTCTAGTCGATCTCGGCCCAACGGGATTGTTGGAGGGAAGGTCGGGCGATAAAAAAAATTGTTGCTAAGGGTGTATACTTACGCGTAGAGGGGCAAACAAGACAATAAAGGCAGTGTGAATGAAGCCAAGAGAAGGTAAAACGGAGGGATTGTCGGTACAGGTGCCGTCGAGCCAGCCGACGCGTCTCTTCTCCTTCATGAACCCGTTGGCGGTGGAGATCTGGTTGTACGTGCTCGCTGCCTACGTCCTCGTGAGTTTCACCCTGTTCGTGATGGCCCGGTTCAGCCCGTACGAGTGGAACAACCCGCACGCGTGTCCCGCGGGCGAGGCGGTCGAGGTGGTCGAGAACCAGTTCACCGTGAGCAACAGCTTCTGGTTCATCACCGGCACGTTTCTCAGGCAGGGCAGCGGGCTCAACCCCAAGGTATAACCAACGAGGTGCTTCCCTCTTACTCTATACCCATCCGTGCCGATAACACTTCATTGCCTTGCTTAATTTTTTTTTTCTTCACCCTAAACATCGGAAAATCGGTTATTTCGGCTCTCTTTGGTCCACGTGTATCATTATTATTATTATATTATTAACTCATGCAGGCCTCCACCTCCACTCGTGTTTTTTTTTTTATCTGGCTGTTGTCGACCCTTTACGTATATAGCTGATGATGGGATATACCTCCGAATGATAAAATCGTAGTGTAGGAAACGCCGGTTTGCACGTAACTGTCGTTGGTGATGCGTCGTTTGCGGTCACTTGGCGGGTGGCGCGAACTACCCGCTAGTCGGTGGTTGACCGCGACCATCAGAAGCAGTGGGGGCTTTTACTCGAATGGCCCGGACGCGCCGATGAGGATCTCGAGTGGTGCGAGAAACGGGAGGATGATGAAGCGTCACTGACCGAGTATTGGTGCGCCAACGAGTGCACGCTTCTGGTTCACGGTCGGCAGCCTCGCGGGCCAGCGACCTCGAGCCCAAGGTAACGGCGCATAACTCCGTGGCCATCGATCGACGCGACGTGTGTGTGATTCATCGCCGATTTCCCCAGTGCGCGAATCAAGTTATTTATCGAGATTTACCCCCCTCCCCAGAGCTCTGCACTTGTGCCATTGTGCGCTGCATATTGAATCCACCGTCGGACAAATTCACTCTTCTTCCCGCGCTCTGTGCTCTTTCAACTACGCGCGTATACGCGACTGCGCTATTTCATACCTTTTTTTTTTTTTTTTTCTTTCCTCGTTCGGATTTTACCGTGGCAAAATTCTGCGAGAGTGCACGCTGTTTTTTTTGTTTTTTTCCTTTTCAAAAGTCTATACTGTATAAGTGCCGGAGAACGGCGCTCGAAACTTTTTCGGCCGCGAGCCTTGTTTCCTTCTTTTACGCGGTGGGAGGGACTCGTGCGCGCAAACTTGAGTGGTTTTTAAAAAACATTTACGATTTTGCACTCGCTCCCTTCTGTCACTCCGTCATTTCCTTGCCTTTCATTTTTCTCTCTCTTTCGCGCCCCAGCTCTTTTGGGTTTTTTCATCCCGTAGTTAATGTGCTTCCTTTTGTTGTTATCGTGCATCGATCCCTCGGAGGGTTAAAAAGCTTAACTCGGAATTCTCCATTTAAAACGAATGTTGAAGATTTTCTTTCTCCGAGCCATCGTTACATGTTATCGTTGTTTTTATTTTTTCACACAATAAATACGTTATAGATAATATAACATTGAGTAAACGAGTGATGATTCCAAGGAGTTCCCAAACATTTGTACGCCCACGTGTGATCCACCTTTTTACGATTTCTATTTGATTGTTTGATCTGAAGAAAAAAATACTTTTTGCTTTGAATTATCATACGAAAGATTGAAAAAATGCGTAACTTTTCTAAAATTACTTAAAAATCGATTTTGCTTCGATTTTCCCGTATCCGCGGAGTGCACTAATACACCCTGCCGCAAAAGAGTTGCCGAAAAAAGCACCGTAGCCCGACTGAAAATCTAATAGTCGCGTAAATCAATGTCCGACTGGATGAAATTTTCGCGCTCCGCCGCACGCGGCGCATTGTCGACGCTAACTCAACTGGGACTTACCACCGCGGCCCGCGTGTACCAATACATCCCTTTTGCGTGCAACAGCCACTGCGCCCCAGCCATGCGTGCAGTGCGCACCGACACGGTATATTCCGATCGGGTGCACAAGCACGAATTTTTCCGCGATCCGAAGGGCTTGGCGTCCCTTGGCGCAGCCCCGAGAAAACAACGCACCTCGATTATATTACCAACTCCAGGCCATAGGAGAGGCTCTCTCTGTGCCTCGAAGTTCCACCCCGAGAAAAGCACGCCAAGTCCTCGAAATCCAGTGCAGCTTAGCGAAAAGTTTCGCGGGCCTAAGTAGTATGGTCTCGGAGATATTTCTTACGATTCCGACGCCTCCCCCTTCCATGTGCCCTTTATCCCTTCCGTCGCTACCTTGCTTCGCTTTTTATCCCCTCTCGAGGACCATTTCCTTTATTTTTGCCCACTTTTATCGCTCCAGCGATATTTCCATTCGCTACGGCTACTTAAGTGTGTCTTAACCGCACTCGGCTTTATCTACTGCGTGAGACTTGGAAGTAGAAACGGTCCTCGAGTGGAGAGACTTCAAAGCGCGTTTATCGTTTTTCTCTCTCTTTGTCATCTTCAATTATTTATTTATCATCCTCTGATTGTCGAACAATAAGACTATTTTTTCTTTTTTTTCATGATTTCTAATGCATCGTTTTTTTCGTTAAACTCCGTCTTGTAAGTGGTTATTAAAAAAAGATTTTCTTTAGCACAAATACAATGCATTATACTTTGAACAAAAAAAATTATGTTTCAATAGAATTGAAAAAGTATATGTGTGTATGTATATTTACACGTGCTCAAGTCTGCCTGTGTGCGCATCGGTGTGGCTTCGTAAATCAAAAACTACTTTTAAACCATACACTAAGCCTGCACGAGTAAATAAAAATCACCCAGGTCTGAACTTTTACGTAGCACCTATGTGCAGTATATGGAGCACGTGGTCCCATTATTTTCCTCTGACTTTACGCTCCCTCTAGCTCACTGTTTTCACTTGTTTCGAAATACTTGCTCGATTTTACGATAATGAGTGCGTTTAAAAGAAAATTTTTTCCAATACAATAATGGATTTTTTTTTTATAGTAGGTATAGTAAAGTATGATTTTAATGTATCAACGAACATTGGCTTACAATAGTCGCGTCAGATGCACGAGGAGTATATAATATCTTGGAGCACTGCAATGTTTGCCGAATTTCCCGATTTAACTCCGATCGCCCAGCTTTTTTCTACCCCCGAGTAAATATTGTTTTGTACAAAGTGGAAGACAGTGAGTGAAAGAAAGAAAGAAAACAATATTCATGTCCGCAAAAACAGTTCATCGATGCGGCCTCGACGTACACGTGATACACACCAGTACACGAAGGGATGAGCCCGAAAGATAATCGATTTTCCGGCTTTCGCGAAAACTTCTCCACTTCCTTTCCCCTTATTTTGGCACTCCAACTCCCTTCGACAATATATTACATCTACTGGCTGATCCATAAGCAGAGGGATGCGCGCAGTATATTACGTTTATTTCATGCGTGGGTCGCGTATAAATACATACGTATACATATTGCGCCTAACAGAGCGTAAAATAGAGCCGTCGTTGTCCCGATGCATAAACGAGGTCTCTCTCTCATACAGCGAATTCCTCGGAGAAACGGAGAGGGAATCGTTGCAGCGACGCCACTTTGGTATCGGGGATTGATGCGTCCCAGCATTGATCCCACTCGCATAAGTGGTAATATATTTATGTAGCAGAGAGAGGCTTGTATATGCAACCAGACGCGCCCGCGAGTATATCATGTTACTTGCCTCGCTGCGCGCCGTACAGCTCGCCGGTATACCTATATACTTTTAATTTACACACCGGCTTGATCGTGCTGTTGTAACGCGCTGGAATTTTTGGTAGCAATTTTACCCAAGTATTTGAATCTCACGTGCTCAACGTAAAGATTACACGCGCGGAAAGTTCGTCCGACTTTTTTTTTTTTTTTTTTTTTTTTTTTTTCTTTCTTGGCGCTCGCTGAAATTCAAACGAAAATATACCGGCCTCTAATTACCCATAGAGCTCGCAACTGCAGGCCGCCAAAAAAGTATGCGCGATACCCGAATGATGAATGCTCTCGGATATCGAGGCGTCGAACTTTTAGTAGATCGGAAGGGTCCTTATTCTTCAGTCCACGCCCTCGAGTTAATTTTACCATTAATGGCACCTCGTTTATGCGGACAGGACGCGCGCTTTTTGTCCTTACCATCGCAAATTATGGCTTTTCAACTCAATTTAAAAGGCCATCGCCTGTGCATTTTGCGGTGCGCAATGACGTTTTGTGTCGTAAATGCGCAGTTAAATCGCAGAAACGTTGAGGAACAATGGGCATTTTTCGTAGTTATCCTCAAAACCTTCCGAACCGAGTTGAAAAAAAAAAAAAAAAAAATCGTCCAAGTCTCGAAACTCGCGATGAGAAAGCAAACGTAAGATTGGTGAATTCACAATGTTCCCCGCAAAACGCGCACCACCAGGCCGCGAGCACGAGGATAGTCGGTGGGATCTGGTGGTTCTTCACCCTGATCATCATCTCCTCGTACACGGCCAATCTGGCGGCCTTCCTAACGGTCGAGCGCATGATCACGCCGATCGAGAACGCCGCCGATCTCGCTGAACAGACCGACATACCCTACGGCACCCTCTCCGGTGGCAGCACCATGACCTTCTTCAGGGTAACTATACACACCCCTACCCCCCTTTTTTTCCCGCGCTCCTTTGACCGTATAGGTATATGGTTTCGGTTGTGAAAAAAAAATAGGACTCGAAAATAGCGATATACCAGAAGATGTGGAGGTACATGGAGTCGAAGCAGCCGTCGGTCTTTGTCTCGGACTACGAGGAGGGCATCCAGAAGGTCCTCCAGGGCAACTACGCCTTCCTCATGGAGTCGACGATGCTCGACTACGCGGTGCAGCGGGACTGCAACCTCACGCAGATCGGTGGCCTCCTCGACAGCAAGGGCTACGGCATAGCCACTCCCAAAGGTATACACCATACATACATTATCATACACGTATATTATTAAGTATACCAGCATTTCTCTTGTGAATCGTCCCCCGTTGGCAGGCTCGCCTTGGAGGGACAAAATATCCCTGGCCATACTCGAGCTCCAGGAGAAGGGCGTGATTCAGATACTTTACGACAAGTGGTGGAAGAACACCGGGGACGTGTGCAACCGCGACGAGAAGAGCAAGGAGAGCAAGGCCAACGCCCTGGGGGTGGAAAATATTGGTAAGCCGCCCCTTTTCGTACGATTGTTGAGTCTAATGGATCCTTTTACCTATACTTCTCGTGTTTTCTTCTCTCTCTCTTTTTTTTTTTTTTNGTGTGAGTGTGTACGTGCGCCCCCGCAAACTTAATTAAACCGAAAAGTGTACGGATATCGGGAGGGAAATCAGCGACGAGGCTGCGCATACAGATGGCGATTGGTAAAACAAGGGGGGGGGGGGAAGAAAAAAAAATGTAGAGACTCGCAGAGCACGACTCAGCTTTAGCATTTAAATTAAACGCAAGCTCGGGGACATTAGCGCGGAGTCGTGAGTTGGTTGGACCGAACGAGGAGCGTCAGTGTCCCACCCTTTTCTCTCCGGACACTACGTGTTCGAGCTCTCTTAACGAGCGCCCCCCCGTACTTTTGCCCCTCCACCTCGACCTGTGAGACTTACGTCCCATGGTATGCCTGTATGGAGGTGCTCGTTTCCCCCCCCCCCTTAAACGTTGTAGGGTTTCGCGTGATTGTTGAATTTGCCATTATTGAAAATTGTCCATCTTTTTCCTTCCATTTTTCGAGCTGAATGTCGTACAGTCAAGTTAATGAAGTAGTTTCAGTCAAAGTGAAAAAAAAAAAAAAAAAAAAAAACCGGGGTTTTTTATAAAATCGATCATTTAACAAGAGGTGTATGAAATAAGTCTAGGATTGTGCTCCGAATTTGTAAAACAAAAAAAAAAAAAAAAAGACACGGGTTTTTTTTTCCACGTGACGAGGAAATTTCTGTTTCAGGCGGAGTCTTCGTGGTTTTGCTCTGCGGCCTGGCTCTAGCGATCCTCGTGGCCATTCTGGAATTTTGCTGGAACTCAAAGAAAAACGTCCGATCGGACCGGGTAAGTTTCAAGCATCCACCGCCCGTATAATATATATATATACCGAACGCGTCTTTGTCTCAATGTCTCGTTGGACTTGCCTGCACACCTGAACTGTATCGATTAACTGTGTTAACTTAATTCGTGGTTGGGTGTGATCGAAACATATAGAAGGGGGGGGGGGAAATAGTGTGGCTCACAGGACGTGTCGCACAACGATTATGCGGATGATTATTATTTTGGCTGCCCTGCGCTTATACGAACATGTAACAAATAAATGTATTGAAAAAAAAAAAAAAAAAAACGCAAGTGCTTGGCTGTCGTATACACTTGATGCAATAAACATCAATGTGTTTTCTTTGTGTTTGCTTTGATGGATAATTGACGCCTCTAATGCGAAATTAACGCTCTGGCTGCAGTATGTGTTTGTTGTGCGCGGGTTTTTCTTTACTACTATATATACTATCATCATGATGTATAATGCTTTTCCTTCTTCTGTTTTCATTTATACACACGACAACTAACAAACGGGTTACCACATGATAAATATACACACACATATATATATACTATGTGTAATGACCAAAAGATACCAATATATATTCCTGTATACGACACATCCCCGCGTGGACACAGTCCCTGTGCAGAGAGATGGTGTCGGAGCTGCGTTTCACGTTGCGCAGCGGTGCCAGGCAGAGGCCCGCCCCGAAACGGCGCTCGGGGGCCGCCTCGGGCGTACCGGCGGTCTCGTGCAGCAGGTGCAGCTCGCGCTCGTCGATGCGCCGGAGCCGCCACTGCCCGAGCCAGGGCCCCCACGAGGAGACCACCTACGTACCGAGCATCGACATACCTTGGCTAAATGGTGTGAGTTTCACGTACCGGAGCGCCAATGTGCGCATATATCAATATGTACCCGTACTCTCCCAAAGCAACGATACTTTATTCATTCACCAGCCAATCGACCAGTGCACCGATCATCACCTTTTTTTCTTACATATATAGTATATAGCTATCCCTCCCCCCTGTAACGTTGCCAGACGAACCACTGATCCATTATACAAGGGACATCGTTTAGAGGTTTTTTCCTTAGAAGGTGCAACCCTTGAGTTTTCACCTCGTGTCGTACACTTCACTTCATTGTCGGTCGGATGTATCGCAAAACGGCAAAGGGAACCGGCAAGAGGAAATAATGTAAAAACGGCACGGGTAATAAAACATATTATATGGTTGAATAATGCACGGGAGTTGGGCTATAAAAAAAAAAAAAAAAGAGTATTTTTAATTGGGATACGGACGGTGGGGTATACGTGTATAGGAGCGTGAATTTATTTTCGGCGCCCTCCGCTGATGCTGCTGCACGGGCCGTCCTTGGTAGCGCGATGGTATATAGCTAGGAGCTGTTCCAGTAACCCCGAATGAAATTAATGGGACGAGGGGCAAGGGGGAGTAGCCGTAGGATTACGGATTTAACTCATTGGCACAAAAAGTCACATTTATATCCGGTCGGCGGCAATCATATGACCGCGTAATTGGCCCGCCGGCAAAGGGAGTGACTCGGTTACGGGTGTACCTATATCAGGATAAAAGGAGAAAGAAGAAAGAGAAACGCTCGTACATATATATATATATACAATACTTGCACGATTGAGGGGCATTTTGGCACAGTTGGAATGAAATGCCATCCTCCCTCTCGGGCAGTTGAGGAAATCGAGCTTCCGCGCGTGCAGATGGTATATACGCAAAGTCTCGTTCACAGCATCTATACATAAGCATCGGATAGACATCGCGTAAAACTTAACGAAGCCGTTTTGGACCATAAAACGGTACGTAGGTATACGTGGGTGTACCTCACCTATATAGCGGAAATCGCTGTCGAGTCGAGTCTTACGTTTACCATCTCTGCCACCTATACATATACGTTATAGGTATGAGACCCTCTTGTGTAAACATAACATCTCGGTGTCTCGCTTGAGATCATCACCCTCTCTATGTACACATATATACTCCCGTGTCAGGTAAAAAACTTCATTCTCCATCCCCGTATGTCTTCATCCCTTGCACATATTATGTATACATGTACACCATCACGAGACTCGGAATATATATATATATATATACACCAACTGCTATTATAGTACCGTACATAGTAGAGACTTACTTCTCAACTTGCACGGGGCTGCCTCTGATGTTTGCCACTGTATATTGAATGCCTAGATATTTCGTTTCTCACACTGTATGCATGTTTTTTTTCATTTTTTTATAAATGCATGTATAGTAGTAGATACTAGTTGCTTAGGTTAACTACCCTTTTTTTTTTTTTTTTTTTTTTTTTTTTTTGTATGCATAATTGTGTTTGCAACAGATGCGTTTTCCTTTTTTTTTTTTTTTTTTCCTGGAAGCGAGCTTTTTCCGTGGGTTACGGGAAGAATAAAATTTGCGAAATAGGGAAGCAAACTCCTCCTGCACCGACAACAATCTATTTTTTGCTCGTTGCACGGGGCCATAAGTAAATTACTGGTAACTGGACTGGCTTTTTTTTTTCCTCTCTATTTTTAACCGAGAGAGCGCTCCTTCCCGCCGAGTAAAAATACAAACCGAGTGATATCTTTTTGTTTTTTTGTTTTTCACATCTTTGAACAACGAATAATCGTTTGCGGGGGCAAACAATATCGTACATCGCGAGTGGAAAAACCTTTTGTTTTTTCGCGCCGTACATTTTTAAAATTCAACGAAAGAAACCTTTTTCGGGGGGAGCTTTGTTTTCACAGTCACATACATGCGCGTGCGTAGGAGAAAGGTATAAAAATAATCGCTAGTGTGTGCGTACCTTTGCTGTGTAGCACGTATAATGTTCATCGTTGTATTCGCTTTCGATATTTATGTATGTATAATATCATAGGTGTGTACATATTATATAAGCTTTTAATTCGTAAGTCTCGATTTTGTGTGTGTGTATGTGGGTAATTAAGCAAGTTTTAAGGGCATGGCTAACGATTAATTAAGTGCCGCGTTGCGCCCACCTTTGCATATATATTTGTGTTGTATGTGTATATACTAGTGTCCGCTGGCTTTTATTCATTTGCGTAAAAGTTATGGCGCGGCTGGGCGACGCGAGCGTATACAAATTCGACCGGTGTTTTTCGCACTCCGTAATTCCCCGGATCATTACAAAAGTTTATGTTCCTTTTTTGAAAGGTTCTAATAAAAATGAACAGAATTTTTTTTTTTTTTTTTTATTGCGTTCATATGCAAGTTTACTGTCGTGATTGTAATTTTTGTCGGACTATTAATAATTTGTTGTTGTCATTGTTTTTCTCCATTCCTAAATTTATATTCAACCCTTTTTCGCATTGAATCAAAGTAAAATAAACGTATCTGTTGGAGTCAACTAAAATTTCAAATCGGATGAAAAAAAAAAAAAAAAAAAAAAAGGAAAAAGTGAAAAAACTGCATTGGCTTCCATTAGAACCTTTCGATAAGGGATTACGAATCCACGCGTATATACCTGTACAGATTTGCCGTGCCGAGACTCGCACGGGATCAGAGCGCGAATTTCACCTCTGTTGACTTTCGTCATATTTTATTTTTTTATTTTTTTTTTTACTTTTTTCCCCTCCCAGAGATAAAACAAAAAGCCATAGTCTCGACGCGATGGTCAGCCTGACGGAGCTATTCAATTTCCGGACCGTGTCTTCTTCCGTCGGGCTTCCGTGCCTCACGCGAAAGCTCTCCCCGCCACCACAGCCCGTCTTTTCGGCTTATTTCCTTTTTCTTTCGACTCAATCGTAACAACAACGGCTCGAGGAAAAGAGCTTCGGCACGGGGCAACTCTGTATGAGAGTATCGGGAGTACCTCTACCATACCTCGCCGACGGCGCCCCGAGTAAGCTTGCGCTTGAGGGTATACGTATTATATTGGGGTATCAGTCGCTTGTACCTGTACCAAGACAATAATACCGGTTGGGTGAGAAAGAGAGAGAGAGAGAGAGAAAAAACTGACCAGGACCGGGTTGTGCGTCTCCCATCGCGGGGGGCGATGAAACTTTGCAGCAGGAAACTGGTGCTCTGCAGATGACGGAGATGAAGAAGTCATTGAGCTACGATCGGATGTCGCCTCAGCACCGCCAGCAGCTGGCCTTGGAGAATCCACAGCAACAGCAGCAGCAGCAGCAGCAGCAGCAACAACTGCAGCATCATCTCCCATCAGCACAGCCGAGTTGCCGCCACACGCCCACGCACACGCATCATCATCATCACCTGCAGCATGTTGTACACTGCCACGCGCATTCCCACGCTCACGGTCATTCGCACAAATGCCCGCATCAGCAGCAGCAACTACTGCTGACTCCGAAGCAGAAACGAGCTTCTTTCGGCATCAACTTGGCTCAAGGTGGGTTTTTATTACGTATTTTTATACGGATTAATTCCCGCTCCCGATCCATCCGCCTCCCTCCTCCACTTTGGTGGTTTATTTATACGTATATGTACACGCTTTTGGGGTAACGGAAACGATCAAGGGGCCATTTTCCCCTCCTTTTCTCATCAAGAATAATCCATGATGATGGGGGTGTGAACGCTTGCAGGAGGTGACCAGGCTGAGAGTATAATGTGGAGGTTCGATTGCGGGGAGCTCGCGTCCGAGCCGGACGTGGTGACGTCGCCGGGGCCGTTGGTCGTACCGCCGCCTCCGCCTCCCCCACCGGCGCAAGCCACCCCGGCCGGGAGCCGCTCGACGAGGCTCTGACCGATCCTGGAGGAGGTCCCCGTGGGTGTGCCGGCGCAGCCCGTCTCCGACGCCTGCCTCCTCCGCTAGTCTTCGAACGAACCTTCCCTGGGTTTTTCCTCGCACGATGCACCGTCGCGGCCTCGCTCGACTTTTTCCTTTCTTCTCCTGCCGCTGCGGCTTTTTGAAAGACCGAGAGTGCGAGGGCTCTCGGAAAACCAAAGCTGAACAACTCTATATTATTATAGTTACAAACAAAAAACTACTACTAACTACTACTACTACTACTACTACTACTAATTCTACTACTACTATAAAATAAAGACTGCTGAATGTAGTGTGTACGAAATAGCGGCGGTGGGGCTTTTATTTGGAGACAAGCGAATGGAGAGGAGGAACGAAATAAAAAAAAAAATAATAATAATAATAATAATAATAAATCTTGATTACCTAATATCGATACAACTTGCTGTGCGGGAGATCACGGAGTGTGCGAGATCCTATAATATCACAATGTGTTATTAATTATACCATTACAACGTGCGAGTGTGACTAACGAGTGGGGAACGAGCGAGTGCCGTTAGTTTGTATAGGCGAGTGTCATCGATAGTTGAACGACGTAGTTTTTTTACGACGAGAGGCTATACGCGTGTACGCGTGTGCGACACTTGCTAAAAATATATTTGTGTGGATCGAATTTCTATGTCCTTGATGGAATTTATGGTTTTTCGCGGTCCGTAGATTTTATCGCGTTTGGCTACTGAAAGTTTCGTTCAAGTTTGAAATTTGTTTGAATCAATTTATCCATTGTTGTTCCTACGTGACCTCAATTCGATCGATTATTGACAGATTTTTTTTTTATTTATTCATCTTTATTTGAATTAAAAGTTTTTCTACGGTTGAATTGGCCACGATTGGTGTACATGTTGAAAAAAAAGTACATTATTTCAAAAAATCAAGTCTCTACTTGGCCAATTTTAAATTGACACCAAAAAATGACGTACCCAACAATATAGATTACTCAATGTTTGATATGCATGTAAAATCATAAGGTGAAATAAACTTTTATCGGTATTTCGTGTTTACAATGCCTGAAGCACCGAAATAAACGGGCATAAGGTGATAATACAATAAAAACTCTTGAGAAATCGGTATAAATCGACAAACATCGAATCTTGTTCCAATCGGATACGATTTTATTGAATTCAGAGACAATTTAATATACTCGCACTGTAAAAATGTAAATGACGGTCATTGTTCGTAAATAACATATATTATAGGTGTGTGTGAGAGAGAGAGCGATTTGGACACTTTTTTAAAAGTACAATTAAATTTAAAATAAACGATACACGTTTTTAACACGTTCTCGATATATCTTTTTTTCATCTCACTCGCAGAGAGTGTCTTTACAACAACCTTCAAGAGTACGGCTAAAGTGAAAGTGGTAAAAGAGTCACACAACGCAGTATATATATATTTTTTTTTATCAAATGATTTATTGGAGCTTATTGATTATTTACAAGTGTTGCAACATAGTAGCAAAATATATGTATAGATTGAGTAAGATACAAAGTAGAAAAAAATGAAGATTCGGAACTTTGCTGCCAAATTGGTTGAGAGCAAAATTCCAAATTATCGATCAAGCGACCATGTATGTTTATCAGTAGGTGCTGCCAATCTCTTAGAACCGGCTGTTTTCGGCTGGCTGGGGATGCGTCCTGAATCAAAGTACAAACAAATGGATTAAATTTTTCGTCCTCGTTTAACAAGGAAATTCTAATATACAAATCACCTTTAGCAGGCAATAAAACAAAACGCAATGGTGCCACGAAGCCATCAAATTCTAATTTATACCTTGGAATCGATCCAATGCAATTATCAAAATACTTTTGCAAATCGAAGTAAATGGAACTTGTTAAATAAAATTCGCAATGGTCCTCACCTGATGTACTCGAGAGCCCTCATGATGGGCTCTGGGATGGTCGGGGGGGTCGGGAGGTGGCTGCCCTGGGGCTGGAAGCCGTTCTCGTTGGCGACGTAGCTGAGGCCGATGGGGGTGCCGTCGGGGGCCGTGTAAGCGTAGCTGCCCTGGGCGACCACCGGCGTCTCGTCACCCACGACCTGGGGGACCCCGGACTCCCCGGCGGCGATGCCGTTCTCGGTCTCGAAGCTCCACGAGTAGCTGCCGTCGGGGCTCACGTCGTTGGTCTGCTTGAGGATGGCGATGGGCTCGTGGTGGCTCTGGGGGGCTGCGGTGGCGACTGCGGCCAGGGCGACGACGGCGATCTGTCGTAAAATCGTTGTTTTTCAATTCACGTGTCGTTATTCGTCAATGGCGAGTTGCGCAACGCGAAACGCAAAGGAAGCAACTTTTTTTCTCTCTCTCTTTCAAGGGATTCGGAAAGTTAAATTTTGTTTCTCTGAGAATGAGACATCTTCTTTGTTACGTGACGCGGGTATCTTACGTAATTTTATGAAAATAGATGCTTTCGAGATCGGCTCGCACAAGAACTTTGCGGTACAAAAAAAGATTGCATTTTAAATTTTATGACGTTAAATTGCGAAAAAAATGAAAAAAAAAAAAAATAACAAAGTACAAAAAAACAAAAATAATTTTCGAATAGAAGAAAAATGTAAGAAACGTTTGTAACACTCACGAAGAATTTCATGTTGGCGGTGGTTGAGAAGTCGAGGAGTCGATCGGATTCAGACTAGGGCTCGAAGGCGAGTGTGATGATGAGCAGAATTCGGGACGAATTTATATGATTCCGACCAAAGAAAGGATCTCACTTTTCCCCCATCGCGAAGAGTACCGGTGGTGGTAGTGGCGAATGGGAGAGCGAGTTCCGGGCGTGATTTTAGTGCACAGCCGAGAGCACTGAATAGGAGGAGAAAAAAAAAGGAAAAGGAGGGGAAGGAGAAGCCTTTGCCGAAATTCATCTGTTGTCATGACCTTTCGATAACGCCGCCGGCGCTGCTGCTGGGCATCGTCAATTAAGTCGATAGTCGCTACACCTAGCCAGTTGTGTTGCATAATCAATTCTCGCTTGGTCTTCTTCGTTTCAATTTTTCTTTTTTTCTTTTTTTTTTTTTTTTTCTCTTCTTTTTTTCCTCAAAACTTCAAGCAGCTCTAAGGTATCGTCATCTCCAGGATCGTGTCATCATCATTATTGTCAGTGCTATTATTATAAGCACCAGCGTTTACCACGGGTGATTTTCACATTTGCATTTTTGACCCATATTCTATATCGTCCCACCTAACTCGGGATCTTTTTTCTTCCTGGTGAATTAAACATGGGAATATAATTCAGTTTCAAAGATTAGGACAGCTTACCGAACCTGGTTGGGTAATACTCACTCGCGGAGATATCAATTTTTTTTTCTTCGATAGAAATTAAATTTTATTTCAAAAAAGCCTAAAATTTTGTGGTGATCGTCGATCGGTAGAATTTTCGTCATAAGGTATTAACGTTGGTAATATTGGGCAATTCTTTGTTTTAAGAGCGTTACACATAGATAGGTCCACTGCACACGAACCCATTGTTCGATTATCATTCGAATGTTGTCGAAATTGTACTTTCTCTCAAACATGTTTCCCAGATTTCATCAATTTTGAATCTTACGAGTTTTCGAAACTTTTCTTCGCAACGAATCCTCAAGTTATTATTTCTGGCTCATTATAAACTCAAGGTCTTCAATTACACCAAAGGACTATACGCTGCGCCAATGCATATAAACAACACGATCGTTATGCGCGAAAAAAATTGTTTTTTTTTATCGGTTAACACAAAATTTGTAAAAATAACAACATGCGTTCAAAACTGATTATAGGCTTTCGGAAAAAAACATATATGTATTGTATCGTCGCTTTAGTAGGAAATTTTTACCATCTCAACTTTAACTTTCAATACGATCTATCTCTATTTCAAGCATGAAAAAAAAAATCGTGTCTCTTCAAGGAGTAAATTTGTTTTGTACTTTTTCCCACCGATATTATAATAACTAAAGCATGTCATGAATTATGTACGTCCACACGCATAGCGATGTAAAAAAAAATTTTGTCATTTAATTTTTTTGAAAAATTTTATCCGATTTTTCAACCGATTTTCAAAAATGTCATTTTTTACAAAATTTTCACATTTGATATATAACAATGTACGCTTATGAAACACTTATTGCTTATACGTGACAATAATTACTTAGTTTTTTTAGTATTTCAAACAATTTTGCAAATACATTTTTATTAAAAATCAACTTTTTTCACAACAATATTATGTATTAATATATCAACTAAGCGGATTTGAACCAGTTAAGAAAGAAAATTAAACTCAATGAAGTGGACCGAAATTTAATGTGATTTCATTACGTATTTTAAAGATATCAAAAAACCGCATTTATGACGTACAAAAGTAGAAAAACTTGGTATTCGAAAAATTAAATTTTTTATCGCGAATCATACTGGTCATCGATAAATTTTTTTTTCTTTACTTATATCTTTAGATTTATTATAATGCATTTATTATCATAAATTAATGATCATACAAATTTTTCGTGATACAAATAAACAAGTAATAATGTATTAAAAATAGGGAATAATTAAAATGATGCGATTCTTTATTGTGAAATCACAAGTCAACGGTCGTGCTTTTGATATGTTACGGTTTTTGTACTAAAATTAGCCAATTGCTCTTTTTTCGCAACTCATAAATATTCCTACGATGAAATAAGTTTTATTTAAAGTATACTAAAAATGGAGATGACCACGATGCGAGTAAATCAAATCATTGGCCCCATAATTTTAGTTTCTCTTTGACAAGTTTTCCAGATCTGGTTTTACAGTTCATTACAAGTAATTATGAATTGTAGATCCAACAAGTTCTCGAAACTTGTGCTCACAGCTATTATTTACCTGATATTCTCCATTTCTACAAGTACGTTGGTAAATTTTTCGTGACTCGGATCAGATCAAAAATAAAATGTTAATCCTATAAAAAAATATGAAGGTTTGGGCATTATAGAGTCACAATTACTTATGCAATTACTCGTTGAATAAAGATCTCGTAACTACTCGATTAATATAAATATTCAACGTAATTGCGAGACGGAAAAATGTTTGAAAATTTGAATGAAAGTTCAAAGCATGAATAGTAGTTTGAATTTTGAACGATAGTTAAAATCTCACAAAAACTGTGCACATTACTTCCACAAAATTTTTTTTTTTTTTTTCTATAATTTATCAACTTGCAACGCAAATGTCTACGATGAATTTTTTTACAGCAAACATGTATGCGCACCTCGCAGAAACGATGAGAAGAAGATAAAATTTCTACACGGGCAAAAATACCAAGCCCTTTCACCCGTAGATCGTATAGTTGTTGCTTTCTAAAAACAAAAGAAAAAAAGTTTCAGCGTCCCATGTCGACGAAGACGTTAAAATAACCGATTGACCTTCCAGATGATCTAGTTACCGAACTGTAAGATGTTGAGCATCGCGTGCAGGCGAACAATCAAAGGTGAAACAAGAGGCAGAGCGAATGATGTACGAGTCGACGGTCATCCACGTGGGTCGGATGATGGGGACGCTGTGACGCAACGCGGTCGGCCGCTGATATTCCCCAAAATTTTTGAATATCCATGACGGAAAGACTCCGAGTAGCCCCAAGTGCAGATACGAGCGACGATGAAAACTGGTGCTATCGGCGCTCGATAGAAAAAAAATCAGCCGCCCATCGAAGCTGTTCTCCTATAAATACGCGGTCTCGTCCTACCCAAATTCAGAAATCAGCTAATTACCGAACAACGAGCATCAACATGAAATACCTCGTAAGCTCGACGATACAATACTTCCAAACTATAATTTCTCAATTTTTCGAGCAAGCATTCAACGCTAATTTCCATTTTCCAGGTCGCCGTCGTCGCCCTGGCCGCAGTCGCCACCGCAGCCCCCCAGAGCCACCACGAGCCCATCGCCATCCTCAAGCAGACCAACGACGTGAGCCCCGACGGCAGCTACTCGTGGAGCTTCGAGACCGAGAACGGCATCGCCGCCGGGGAGTCCGGGGTCCCCCAGGTCGTGGGTGACGAGACGCCGGTGGTCGCCCAGGGCAGCTACGCTTACACGGCCCCCGACGGCACCCCCATCGGCCTCAGCTACGTCGCCAACGAGAACGGCTTCCAGCCCCAGGGCAGCCACCTCCCGACCCCCCCGACCATCCCAGAGCCCATCATGAGGGCTCTCGAGTACATCAGGTTGAAGAACCTCAACGCCAAACCCGTATTCTAAGTTTGGAGATGAAACGCATCGGTTTTCGTTCAACCCTAGTTTTATACACGTGCTTTATGAGTGTATACAGACTCGAGATAAGGCAGTTTCGACTGATGGTTGACGAAATTTTTTTTTTTCCGTCAACCCACTCACCAATTTTTAATCTATCAATAAATAGTATTTTCTTACAATACCTGCACATTTTTTTCATCCAAAGACACGTTAATCCCTTTCCTTTATCCACATGTGAATGATTTTTATAAAATACTGGAAATTTTTCTTTTTTTTTTAAACTATACTGTTTATTATTTTTAAAAAATTTGGAGATGTTGTCCAATGGGATAAAATCCTTCGTTTCATTTGAAATAATAAAAAAAAAAATTTGTTTCAATAAAATCTTTTTACTATATACACTTATTAGTGTTTAGCCGTAAGAGATAACTTATTTTACAAAAAATATTGAAGACCATAATAAAAATGGATTCAAGAGAAAACACGAAAAAGAGTAACACTGAGTTTTATGATGTTGCATCACGTAATAAAAAAAAAAAATTATTGCGAAAAAAAGTTATTTAAATGCATTGTCTTATAATTAATCATTACGAAAGATTTCTTTTATTACGTTTTTTAAACGATACGAATTGTGCTTGACGAGAAATCAAAGTATCAAGAACATATGAATGTAGACAATACAGAAATAACTGGTTTTTATATTTCTTAAACATTACTTGTTTTCACTGAAACTCGAGATTTTTTCACTCAGTATTTTCTTAGACTAAGTAATTTCTTACGACCCGTTCAAAGACATATTGCAGCATCATACTTACGCAACAGTTATCTATTTCTACTAAATTCGAGATGCTAATTTAGAAAATCGAATGTAAAAGTTTGGCTATTAAGATCATGAATTCGTGAAAAGAATATATTATAGTCCTTTTTTTCTTCTTCAAAACATAAGAATTTTTTATCTGATAAAAATATAGGAGTTATACTTTACAAAGGACTACGCTGCGCCAATGCATGTAAAAAAACACGATCGTTGTATACCGTCTCAACTTTAAGTTTCAATAAGATCTATCTCTATTTCAAGTGTAATAAGAATCTTTTTTTATCCACTCCTATCTGAGAATTCTTTAAGTCCACTCGTGCAGCGTAACGATTTTTAAGAATATATTAACATTTTTTTTTGGTACAAAAAATTTTATCCGATTTTTTAATCAATTTCGAAAAATATGTCATTTTTTTTTTCTTCAAAATTCTCATTGATTATACGTGACAATAACTAATTAGTTTTGTTATTATTTCAAATTATTTCATCAAAACATTTCTCACGAGTAAATTTTTATTAAAAAACAAATTTTTTTTACTTACTACTTTATTTATATATCATATATTAATATAAAAAACCA